CTATCAGTTTTCTTCCCTAATATCAGGTATGACTTGAATTCCGGTAACTCCATAAAATTTTGGGAACAAACCTGGGTGGGGAGCACCCCTCTAAAGGATCAGTTTCCGTCTTTGTATGCTCTTTCTGATTTGAAAAATGAGCCGATCTCGTCTTTCACCACCCCATCCTCTTCCACTTCTGGGATTGGGTGGAACTTGGGTCTAAGAAGGGATTTGAGGGACTTAGACTTCGACAGTATTTCGAGCCTTTTTGTACTTCTTGATAACGTTGTCTTAGACCCCACTAGGGTGGATTCTAGAATTTGGACACCTACCCCCAATGGCACTTTCTCTTGTGCTTCGTTCTTCAAAGTCTTAAGTCAGTCCACCAGTCCTAACCTTCCCCCTTTCCCTGTTGGTGAGGTTTGTTGCAGAGCAATACCCCCTAGGGTTGGTAGTTTTTGTTGGGAAGCCTATTTGGAAAGAATCAATACTAGTGATTTACTCCAAAAGAAGAGACCCAATACTTGCTTGTCACCTCAGTGGTGTGTTCTGTGTAAAGCGGATGGGGAGACTGGTTTTCACCTACTGGTGTCTTGCCACTTTGCGAGGTCAATTTGGGATTGGGCTTTCTCCTTATTTGGATGCAGTTGGAATCCCCCATCAGACTTGCAAGGCCTTTTCTCCCCTTCCTTTGCAGGTGGCGGATAAAAAGGGGAAGGACAATGTAGAGAGGACTAAGGGTTGGACATTGTGGGAAGAAAGAAACTCCAGGATATTCTCAGAAACTCAGAGAGGAGCAGCAGATCTGAGGGCTATCATACATATTAGGGCGGTACAGTGGCTGAAATCTTTRKMAMYATTCMCAGRTTACACTRTGGATGACATGTTGAGGAAGTGGGGTGAAATTGCAAATTGCACGCAGACCAAGTCAGTAATGAGTGTGGCTTGGACCCCCCACCTAGTGGATTCTTGAAATTAAACTTTGATGGGTGTAGTAGGGGGAACTCGGGACAATCGGGGATTGGGGGTGTTTTTAGGGATGAAAATGGGGTCATCTATGCTATGTTCTCAGGCTCAATTGGAGTGGGTGACTCCCTTAGAGCTTAGATCTTTGCAGTTATGGAAGGAGCCCGGAAAGCTAAGGAATTGAACATCAAGAAACTCATAATTGAAGGGGATTCATAGGTGGTGATAGGGTGGCTGACTAAAGATCAAAATGGTTTATGGAAGTACAATAATGAGAGGAGGAAATTCAAGTGGCTGGKGMGGGRGATGGAAGTTAAGACATGTTGGATTAAAAGATTGGCTAATTCCCTAGCTGACGGTTTAGCTAAACAAGGGGCAGAAAGGGATTCACTGTTTTGGGCTAAGCTGTAACATTAGTGTCTATTGTCTTTTTTCTTTTTTCCTTTCTTGAAGCTCTTTGTGGCTCTTGGAAGATAAGTGCGTTTGTCTTCCACTTGTAAATTTTCTAATGATGAATTAATGAAAGTGTTATTGATAAAAAAAAAAGTAATTGGATTTACACTTATCACTTATAGTTGTGTGCATGAATATATCCTTTACTCTTTTAACATTTTAAAACTTACATACCGACAATTATGTCCTCATCCCCATGTTTAAATAGAAGAACTGCAATAGCTACTCTCGTTAACAACTCCAACATGATAGTTTAATCAGTCTTCAAACACAAAAATTAGCTCCTATACCAATAAGATCTAATTAGAATTCGAAGGTATCTGATTTCATGCTTCCAAATATTACCTAAAAGCTCACATCTTTTTTTCTCATTGATTTTGGTAAACTTGTTTTTTTACTGATAACAAAAGCTCATTAATCTTCTAAATATGCAAAATTGTTTATTAAATACTATTTATTTTTGAAAGCCTCTATGCAATACTATGAGTTTTGAAAGTTTAAAAAAATTTACATAGCTGTGCATATTTGTGAAGGATATTTTTTTTTTCAAAAATCAAACTCCAGCTTGGATTTTTGTAGCCAAAACCAAAATTCAGCTTGAATTTTATGAAAATTAGCCAATATCTCAAAGAAATGCTTGATACTTATGCATGTGAAATTTGTTTAATACTTGCATGTACATGCAATAGTGAGGTCTTCAGCATCACTTTAGGTACATAGTCCCATGATCTATAGATGAATGATGGATCATGAAAGAAGTTCCCAACTTTTTTCCTTTTACAATGTTCTAGAGATTATGGATTCAGATTGGATGATATGTGGTCTTGTTCTTTTTCAGGACATATTGGAAAAAGTCCAAAAACTCTGTCCACGGGCTTTAATTGTTGATTCTATTCAGACAGTTTATTTGAAAGGTGTGACTGGAAGTCCTGGAGGTCTCCCACAGGTTGGATTTTTGAACTCTTTGGGTTCTCCACATGTCATATGACTTGATTAGTGTAGGAAATCATGCTTTAACCAACCATCTCCTGGTCACTAGAACTCTTTTCCAATGCATTCTGTAGCTTTGCTCATTAATGAATTAATGCTTTCAAGTTCCTTGCCATGATAAATGAACTAAATTCTATAGTGACAAAAGGTGTGCTGTGTGTGAACTTTGTTAACCTCCATTTTTGTCAGTAGCTGCAAAATTCATTTTCAAGGTCAGGAGATGGTTTTCCAAATTTTGTAAATGGGAGAACTCCTATTCTTAGTTTTCAGCTTTAAAAATGAGGTAAGCGTGCTGTAAGCAGCCTCAACATTCTTAAGTTGTAAGTTCGCTGAGGTAATAACTTGTAATGCTGAAATTGCCCTTGATGGAATAAGGATGGGTGATTTAGTTTTGAGTGTACTTAGAAGTTTGGTTAAAGTAAGGGTTAAGCCATCTGTCAACTCTTTCAATACAAGTTCACTTGATTGGTACTTAGTGAATTTAGTTTTTCTACTGTAATATCCTTGATTTTCAGCTTGCTCTTTACATGCTTGCAGAATTGACTTGTTTTTCTTCAATATGATTACATATTGGCAGTATAAGCATATTGCTTCTATAATGGTGATTATTTCTTGTTTTTGGCTGTGACAACAGCACAGCCTTTAACTCGGATGATGATTACATAGTGGCTCTTTACATGCTTGCTGAATTGATTTGTTTTTCTTCAATATGATTACATATTGGCAGTATAAGTATAATGCTTCTATAATGGTGATTCTTTCTTGTTTTTGGCTGTGATAATAGCACAACCTTTAACTGGGATAATGGTCTAATGTATTATGTATTCTCCCATTGTACAGCCTCTAGTTGTACATGGGTGTTTTTTCTTTCTATTTTAATGAATTGATACTTTACCTCTTCTAAAAAAAGCACAACCTTTAACTGAGCTAAAATTTTTGAAAAGAAGACTTTATATTGTGGTTTCGAGATTATATATGCTAATCCTAATTGTCTCACTAAAATAGCTCACTTTTCCTTGATTTCTAACAGGTGAAGGAGTGCACTACAGCTTTGCTGTGCTTTGCTAAGAGGACAAATATACCTATTCTTGTGGTGAGTTATCTTTGCTTCAAGTGTATCATGGATGCAATTGTTGCTTGATTTCTAGTTGACCTGAGATTGTTTAAGCATTTAATCAAAGGAATCCAGAAGGGCAAAATCAAATTACACCCTTTAAAGATATGTAGGGATACCATGGTGTCATGAATGCAGTTAATATTATCTGAGTAGGAATCTTCTAGAATTTGACAAGCCTAGTTCCATTCTCTAGTTTGTAGGTCAGTTTTTCTTCCCTTTTTGGGTCTCTTCATGAGGGAGCTCATCCCATTGACTTATTGTAATTAGTAATTAATAAAATATAAGTATGCATATCTTTTACTTCATGAATTAGGAGAAGCCATTCAGATAGGAAAGCTCTCGTCAATATGTCAGTATTATTGTAGTGACCTTCATTCAAAATGCTCCTTAAATATGTGAATCTTCATTCTGATTCCTCTACAGCCAAAATTTATGTTGCTTAGACCTCTCAATTTCTTACAATTATTGCACTGTTTGACTCTTCCAAAGTTGATTATGATGAAGTTGTCACCTAGGTGATAAGGTGCCCTTGGTGGTTCACATTGCCCAAGCACCTACATGTTTTTGTATAAGGTGCCACATGATATTTTTATGATATTATAATATCTCAATAGATATTTTTACACTAAATTATTCATTTTGTGGGCTTATAGTATTTTTTTTTATAATTCTTATACTAGTTTTTTATTATTTCTTATTTAATCATCACATGTAGTTTTGAATCCTTTAAGACTTCAAAACCTGAGCTGATAAGCAAGGAAGAACTTGAAGATTTTATCCAATCAAAACAAAAGAGAAACCAAGGAATACTTTCTTTTTCTTCTCATAAATATGTTGATTTTCTATGTTTTGATATGAGGTTCATACTTATTTATGGGGATTATGGTAATTATTATTAAAGATTACTGTTGAATATTATGAAACCTAGGGAACTACCCTAGGATTTAAATTTTTTATTTTAAAAAACTCATCGCCTAGGTAACACTGAGGTGATAAGGCACCCTTCATTAATACTCTCTTTGACTGTGATTTCTCTAAGAAGATCCTTGCATTTCTTTCTTCCCAAACTGTTCAAAGAGTATGCCACTATTTATTCACAATCTTTTCTGCTTTTGCACATGGGCAAGGGTATTGGAATTCAACACATGTTGAAAATCTGACTGGGCAAGATGAAAAAACTCATGGACATGTCTAAAGAAAAGCACATTCCATTAAAACAGTCTTTTTTTTGAATTCTAAAATTGTATTTAACTATTTATCTCTATTATGTAGTTAATGTTCTATAAGGAAAATTGCATTCACAATATACCAGCTGTTCATTTATGTCAAGTAGACATGGACAAAAGAGAAAAGGTTACATTATTCATGGAGTGTTGTTTTCAGATGTGTCTGGCACAGATGCTTCATCCATTTAGGAAAGTCCCCAAGCGAAACTGCATTTAGATGGTAAAATAATGACACTGGGATATTCTTTGAATGTTGTTATGCATATTGATTCAATGTTGGAATTGTATTAGAAGCTTGGAACTTCTCTTATTGTTTGGGGAGTTAAGTTTTTTGTTTAAATGTATTTCAGATTGGACATGTGACAAAGACTGGAGACATAGCTGGACCTCGTGTTTTGGAGCACATTGTGGATGTTGTTCTATATCTGGAAGTTGGTACCTCATTACATTGTTACCCAACTTACATTAGATTCTTGACATACAAATATCTGGGTTTCCCATTCCATGCTATGGATCCTTGATCTATGTTCTTTTTAACATTAACTGGATTTAGAGCTGGACCTCATGTCTTGAGCAAAATGTGTATTGTTTTGTTATTGAAGTTAGGTATCTGTTTACATCATCCTCTACTTGCATATTCTTATTATGTTAAAGTTATATGGTTACAGACAATCAGAAATTATGATCATATGATAATATTAACTGATGGTGGCCCAATAAATATGCAGCAGAATGTGGGGATGTGAGATGGAAAATAATGGTGAAAGATGAAATGCAGCTGGCTAGACTGAAGGATAGTGTTGCTGGATAGAAATTCTCAACAATACGAAATTAGAAAAAAACTAAAGATGGAGAAAGCTCCCGCATTCACAATAAATAAGACAAAGAAAAGAATAGTGAATTATTAGACAAGAGAGAGAAGAGGCGCTGGAGCAAGTTTCCAGAAGCACAATTCTTTCAACTCTTATGCATCAAATGCCTTCTGATGATTACAATTACAATTTATGGACTCAAAATAGGGACTTGGATCTCCCTTTATCCACTCCAAATTTAGCTTGAAAGTTGAAATATAAGTAGAAGCGTCTCCATTGCATTAGGACTAAGGTAAACCTAAACTCATAAGGAAACTTAGATATGAACTTTGGACTTTGAATAACTCCAAAACACACACAATCCAACCAAAACCATGCATCCACAAATAATTCTTAGGCCTTGAAATAGAACGACTGCAGTTCTGTTAGAGAAATAAATCCTACTCATAAAGGGCCGGGACGTGCAACTTCTGGCGATTGGGTGCTTCTCTTCATTGAAATCCAGCGAAAATGCCGAAGCAGATCCACGAGATCAAGGATTTCCTTCTGACAGCAAGAAGGAAAGATGCACGTTCTGTCAAAATCAAAAGAAGCAAAGATGTGGATAAGTTCAAGGTCCGCTGCTCCAAGTACCTGTACACACTCTGTGTGTTTGACTCGGAGAAGACAGATAAGTTGAAGCAGTTTCTTCCTCCAGGTTTGAGTGTCCAAGATCTGTGAATGAGGAGGATCTGAGCATGTTTTTTTTTTTTTTTTTGATATAAAAATCTGATCTGAGCATGTTTCTGGGAGCTAGAGTTGCTTTCTGTAGTTTCAATGTTACGTATTTTGAATTTATACTAGTGAATGTTGACAATATATTTTTGGGGGTGATTTTGCCTTGATTTTGAACGGAATAAATCCTACTCATAAAATGACCATAATTTTCTCAAAACATGTTGGTTCACAAATTCTTGGTCTAATTGGGTAGACGTCGAAGAAGCTTATCTAAGGACACTAAATTTGGGCTGCAAGAAAAATGACAAGCTTCTGACATCAACTTTTCAAAATTTTCCACATTCCTGTAAGATGAGGTAACCTGTTCCTTCAAACCAAAAAAACTAGAAAAATATGTCTTAAAAAATTGAACCTGACCAAGATTAGTCACCCAGAAATCATGAAATTGACCACATATACATGATTTTGCTAGTTTTCTCCTCAAAACTCCTTATTGGTAGCTTTTATTTTATTGGTTTTTTTGTTTTTTTTTTTTTTTTGGGGGGGGGGGTATGATTCATGTCCCTCATTTAGCTCATTTCTGTCCTGACATCCCATTGCCTTCTAAGGATTTAAGCATTCTTAATATGAATGTCTATATAAAGAAGCCCAATTTTTGGCCCAACATACCATGAAGCTTATTCAAAATGTCCATTCATTCTCCAGCCTCATTTTGAGAAGCTCTCCCAAAAACCAAAACATCATCAGCAAACAGTAAGTGAGAAATCTGAGAAGCCCTTTTACCAATAGCAACCTCATGAACCCCTGTTTTCAGATTCTGCTTTCATAATTGGCCTTCACAAACCCTCTATTTGAAAGAACAAACAAATATGATGACACAGGATTGAGTTAAGAAGTTCATTTATTGCATCCAGAGTTTCTAAGCTTATTTTCTTTTTATGCAACATAATCTGGAATATTATTTTGATTTTCAGGGTGAGAAGCACACAACTCATCGTTTACTTCGATCTGTGAAAAACCGTTTTGGATCCACAGATGAGGTATTTGATGCTAGAATTTTTTCCTCCAGTTTTTGTGAATTTGTTTTTATGTGCTTCCACATAGGCCATGCGTGATTTAGCAAATTTGTTATTATCTTACTGATCAAAAGAAGAGAAAAAAGCTAATATATTATTATCTTTGGTTTGGCCTAGAAACCATACCTCTAGGAAAGCTATATCTGGTAAACAACTGACAACAATGTCTTTTGATTAAAAAAGTTTGGTCTACCTGCCAGATCATCTACATAATTGTTGTGCATTGCCTTTATTCATGAATGGTTTTAAAATCTAGATTGTGCAATATATCCAAAATCTCTTTCTGCTAGTACATCAAACCTTTGTTTTCTTTATTCTGATAGGCATGTTTCCGTAATCCCTTGTATTTTGTTGCCTCATTACTAAAATTACTAGATTTTTCTCCAACACAACTTTGTTTGGATCAAGTATACATAGGAGTTTTTAAGCTTTGGAAAAAGCTAAGGACCTATGCTATTTGGTTCTGGTTGGACAATAAGATCTAAGACAAAATAGATCATACCAATTCCTGCTGTTCCTAAAACTTCCTCATTCTCAGAGTGAGGCAGGTGGCTACCCATAAACAATCCATCATCATCTTTTCTTGAAACTAGGAAGTCTCTCTTGATTTGTGTATTTTATCTTTGACACCAAAATTCTATTTTTTGATGTGATTCTCATGTTCTTTCTTCATAAATTCCATTCTAATTTATATTTTGATTGATTTAGGCATTAGATTTGAAGGCCTCTTTTCTTGCACTTTTGTATGGGACCCATATTTGAGGGTATTGGGCTTCCCATAAATCCTTTTGTTGTGAGTCTTGAGGCTTTATACATACAGATCATTTTGATATACTATTGTTATAGATCAAAAGGTGAAAGGGAAAATAAATGGATTTAGGCATTGGTATCCTCTCAGCAACTTTATATACTGGTTGGGTTGCACTTGTTGGGTCCTTCCTAGAATTGAAGCCTTCATCTGGAATTGTGGATCATCCCTGACTAGGTGCTCACGGTCAAACATCTTAATCATAAGGTAGTTAGATTTCTAATTGATACATTATGTGTAAATGCATTTGATTATTTGTTTCTCTTTCATCAGAGTGCTTCTGATCTTTTTAACTCTTTTGCTCCCTCTCTGACCTTTCTTAGACTTGCCTCTTTCCAGTTCAGCTTGCAAGTCTTTCTTAGCTTTAAGTTTCCTATGGCTATAGGATTCCATTTATTAATATATGGTCCATTTGTATTTTTTGGTGTATATCAAAGGAAAGAAACCTCGTAAACTTTTCTTGTTTTTGATTATCATCATCATCAATTCATCTAAGTCTTATCCTAACTATATGAGATCGGTTACATGAATCCTGTTTTGCCATACCATTCTTTGTTTTTTTTGAAGGGCTACACAATGGGGGTAGCCCATCCCCCAACCCATAACCCCCCCCCACCAATCCAGGTGCAGGCAGGATTTCCCAAGTCTTTGCTACAACCAGCAGGAGACGTTACCAACCTGCTGGTTGCACCCTTGCTTTGCCATTCCATTCTGTTTAATGGCAGTTTTTCTTATTTTTAACAAGCAACAGTAATAGGAATTTTATATAGCATGTATAAATTGGTATTCGGTAGATCTCTACTAGCCTGAAAAAGGATGGCAGCATACAACTAAAACAGCATGTATCTGACTCCCCCACCCTTTATAAATAAAATTGCAACTCTACCTCCAATCCTGGTTCACCTGATCCAGCTAAAGAACCTACCAAGCAATTTGCTGCTTTAAGAATCCTCCTGAACAAGTAATTCAGGGTGGATGCCAAAGCTCTTACTTTCCTCATCAGGTGCCTTAAAAGTCACTTCCTCCAAAACATTTTCCAATTTATGACCACATGGCAGTCTCTTTCGACCTGTAAGTCTGTCTACCCTTCTGATGAAACCAATTGTAGTGCTTGCAATAGATCTGACAACTTTGCTTTTAGTAAGATAACAATTGCAGCAGGTCCAGATAAACTTAATAATACATTTCTACCATCATCTCTTACAGCTCTACCCATACCAGATGGCCCTAGGTTGCTTAAACAACAGCCACGAAAATTCAATTTTCTTTTACTTTTTTTTTTGAAAAACAGTATTTTATTAATGAAAAGATAAACAAAAGGACCTATGTACAATAACGGATTTCCATGATAAAAAGGAACTATAAGTCTATAATTTCTAAAACTAAAGAGATTTTGGTTGACTAACCAAGAAAGAAGCACTCCTACTATCCTTTTCACCACCACCTCACCTGAGTTTACCTTATCTTTTATTGATAATTGTAAGAATTTATTAATATGCAGTTAAAAATGAGATATGTGCAATGCATTCGGTATCCCTTCAGAGCAGGCTGTCCACACCCCTAACCCATTTATTTGTTTTTTTTAAACAAATTCGAGTTTGCCTTGTTTCCACATACACTTGCATTTCTTTCACCCCATATTACCCAAAAAATAGCAGCAGGTACTGCCTTCCAAGTCACTTTACCCCTTTTACTGAAACCACCTAAATTCCACCTTCTAGGAATTCCTTTACTGATTTAGGGAAGCATCCAATGATTCCAAAAAGGCCTAGCACTTTTATCCAAATCCAGTAGGAGAAAAAACAGTGCAGCAGTATATCCTCCACACCTCCCACACAGCAAACAACTACTATCTTTTCTATATTCCCCTCTTCCAATAAATTGTTCCTTGTCAAGTTTCAATTCTGGGTTGAGGTCCACACAAAGAAGGCTATTTAGATGGAACATTTGCAAACCAGATTCTAAAAGTTGGAAAAGATATTTCAGGGAACTGTGACAGTTTATTGTAGAAGGACTTCACTTGGAAAGTCCCTGAACTCTTTCATGGTCATGACCTTCTCTCATCTCTATTCATGTTTTTCTTGACCGTGTATAGTTTTTGTAGCAAATACAACACTTCGCCTCTGAATTATTTAAGCTGCTTCTGAATCGGGGATTCTGGACAATTTCATTATTGCTGATCAGAATTAGAAACTCTCAACCACACTTTTTTTTCGAGTTATGTTGTAGAGCATTGGGAAAGACTAGTCATCACACAACATGTCCTTCCAAAACTTAACCTTTTGGCCATTTCCCACTTGATATCTTATATACCATTTATGAAATGTTGGTGTGCTTTTCTGACTCTCTTCCAAACTGAACGTCCATAAGAGAGGCTCACAGTGCCTGGACTCCAATCTGTTATTCTTGAGCCAAATTTGGCCAAAATAACCCTCCACAAACTTGCTAGCTGTTCATAATACCTCCCGACACTTGCTCAATAATGTTGTATTTACCTCCAATTTTCTGACTCCTACTCTCTTAGCCCTCCATTTTTCTTAGGAGTGCAAACCTTGTACCAGTAGACCAAGTGGCACTCAAACTTTTCCTTCCAATCCTTCACATTTTTTTTTTTAATTTTCTTCCTAGTATTGCCACCATTTTAGTTGATAAGATACTCTTGAGTAGAGTAAGCTTCTCTTCCTTTGACAGGTACTTAGAGTCTTAGATTTCCATTAGCCCATCTTTCTCTCCATATGTTCTGCAATTGGTTCCCAAATTGATTTAGAGATGCATTTGGCTCCCAATGGCATCCCCAAATGCTTTGTTGGGAGCATCCCTAGTCCCTACTTTACATCCCCAACCCTCTGCACCACTCTAGAATCTATATCAGTCACTTCTCCAACTGCCATAATCTTGCTTTTGTGCATGTTTATATGAATGCCGTCACAACTTTGAACCTCCTGAGAACAGCTTTGAGATTTTCCAATTGTTCTTGTGACACAATACACTGCTGAAGCACACTTTTCAGCAGTGTAAGTTTACCATTCTTTGAGAGGTATTTGGCTTTCCAAGAATCAAATTTCTTTTCCAGCCTGTTCACAATTGGCTCCCAAAAGCATTCCCGGATTATTTGATGGCAGCTTTCCATCTTACACCCCCATTCTTCTGCCCATTGCTCCAGGTTTTGCAGCCCCCCTCGTATGTGTGTTCCCTTGTGTGGTCCAGAGACCACTCCAAACCACCTTCGTATTGCCATTAATTTTTCTAGCAGCTCTTGTAATGCATTGCAAAAGAATAATGTGTCATCTGCTTACTGTAGCAAAGAGACTTCCACCCTCTCTTCCTCCACACCTTCTGCTAGGCCTCCCAATACAGGCCATTTTATTTAGGGCTTTGGGCTTTCATGACTGATATGAAAAAGGGAGATAGGGGTCCCCTGGATTAATTCCTCTTGAACTTTTGAAGCTCCTGATAGCGACCCCATGTACCATTACCGAAAAGAGGGGTGGAAGTGACCTTTACCCAAGTTCTCCATTTTGGACCAAAATTCATTCTTCTCATGATGTAATAACTACCAATTCACATGATCATAAGCCTTCTCCAAATCAACATTGCAAAGCAGCCCAGCCTTTTCACTTCTTAATCTAGCATCAATTCACTCATTTGCCACCAGCACACCATCAAACATGAGTTACCATCTAGATTATCAGAAGTTACTTCTCCCAACAGTCCAAGAACATTCAATTAAAATGGTCATATGGCTTTTTCATGTCCAATTTACTAGAAATTCAGCCCAACTCCTTTGCCGCTAACACTCCATCAAGGATTAATCTACCCTATACAAAAGCACCTTGAGATTCAAAAATAATGTTTCCCATCACTTTCTCCATTATTTTGCAAGTACCTTTGAAATAATTTTGTACACACTTCCACTGCTCCTTTTTGGGATAATGGTGATGAAGGTAGAATTTAAGCTCCTTTCTAAAACACCTTTTTCGTGGAACTCCATAAAAACTTTCATAAGATCCGCTTATACCACACTCCAACATATTTTGTAGAAGGTCATTCAAATCTGTTAGAGCTTGGGGCCTTGTCCCTTTCCTGTTCAAATTTCTTTTACCTTGGTTGGTGCTTCCTATTCAAGCTACCCCTTTGTTCCCTTTTAAAGGAGAATTTTACCACTGTTTTCCATCCCCATTATAAATCATTCATGGATTTATTTTAAAATCATCATTTTGATAAAATTCAATGGACTATTCTCACCATACTCATCTCTATCAAACAACATCCATCAAAGGGCCTAGTTTTAAAAAATTCTAGCATTTCTTTCACACCATAAGCTCCAAAAGGCAGTAGCTCTAGTATAATGCCACAGAATCCTCTGCCCTTTTGCGTAACAAGAAACAAGCTGAGAAGTTATCAAAAAAAAAAAAAATCAAGAAACAAGCTGAGAAGCAAAGAGGTTTAGCGCATTCGATGCTGATATCCAAGAAGATTTAAAAGAAGGAAAAGGTGGTTTAATACTTGGAAGCAAACAGACAAGATCCTAGATAGTTGGGACCAATATTGGGTAAGGCCTTTAAGAAATTTGGCAAGACAACAAGAGATTGATAAATACACTCCCCACAATTCATGCAAAGAATGCATACATGAGGGAAGGGGCACCATGTCTTCCATTTCTATTGGAGCTTTTTATGTGTTGATAATTTGCAGCATCACCTCCCTAAAAAAGTTTTAACCTCAGGAGGAGAGGTTCCATCCCAAATGGCTTTTACAGGAAAGGATTGGGAAGAAGAGTTTGTTTGATAGGTTGGAAAGTCTCTTGTTCATGTTTGTGTGAATGCGTGAACTTTTTTGATGGATTGTCCTCATTGTGTTCAATGAAGAGACTTTGTATTACTCTTTTTAGGTATCTATGGTGTTAACATAATAAGAAATGTCTTTAGCTGATTGATTTTGCCATTCATATGTATCTGTTCAGATTTTTTTTTTAATGTATTTTTTGTTGTTAGAACTGAACCATAGAAAAACTTAACATTATTCTGCAGTACATGTATGCACTGTGGGTATGATCTCTCTAGAATTTTATATTTGAGATTTGCACAAAGCATTTTTTTTTTGATAAGTTGCCTACATATTCCTGTTGTCTGTGCCAAATAATTTGTGCATTCTTCCTTGATTATGTCATCTTATTCCATGATGAATCAGCATAACTTGTGCAGTCCATACTGAGAATTATTTATTTCTGTCAGCTTGGAGTGTTTGAGATGTCACAATCAGGACTGCAGGCTGTTCCAAACCCTAGCGAGATTTTTTTAAGTGACCAACTTTCAGATTCAGAGGTTTTAGCTGGACTTGCTGTTGCTGTAATTATGGATGGGTCCCGAACTTTTCTTATTGAAATCCAGGTATTACTTTTGAAGGCCTTGTTGTAAATCTGACCATACGTGATGTCAGAATAATTTGCTACTTCATCTTGTCTAAAATTTGGTTTCTGTTATCACATTCTGCTTATGAGCTCAATTTCTTGACATGAACATTTGATGATGCTGATAGGTTTTTCTTTTTCATTCTTCTTTTTCCTGTTCCAGAAGGAGAGACCTTTATTAGAAGAAAAAAGGGGAAATACAGTCTCAGATCTTTTTTTTATTGGAAACGGAAAATACAGGCTCAGGTCTTCCTGAAAAGGAAAGGAAGACCATACCACAAAAATTTTCAACAAAAAGGCTAGTATGTAATGTGAATTTGGTAAATACAAGTTTCCAAAGAACAAGATGGAGTTGCTAACCAGGGAGGAGTGAATGCCAATACAGATCAAACCTCTCAAACCCTTCCCCATCCAAACATCTACTAGCAACTTGGCTGATTTTTGGACCAATCCAAACAATACGTTAATTTGGATGCCAAAGATCTACTTGGTCTTTACTGTTAAACAATGTTCAGAGAACTAACCCAGTGGCAGAACTGTTTTTCCCTCTGGGTCACGGGTCACTGGTTCAACCAGCCGGGTTGAACTGGACATCCCATTGATACGTCATCTTATGTATGTATAAATAATGTGTAATATGCATAATTATATAATATATTTGTAATAATATTAGTTGTGTACATCATCATCCTCATCCATTCCTTATCCCAACTATATGGGGTCGTCTACATTAATCCTGTTTTATCAATCTGTTCTATTTAAAGCCATATCCACTGTTAAACTATTAGTGCTTAAATCATTTCTTAATTATGTAGTTATATTCAAAACATATAATTATATTGTGCATGTATGCATGTAATATATATATATATATATATATATATTAGTTTTAAAATTTTATACTAAAAATTAAGATTTGAGGCCAAAAATGCATTTTTTTTGGCAAAAATAGGGGACAAGGTGCTGAAAATGCATAGATAGAGAAAAATTACCCGAAAAAAAAAAAGATCACCCCAATTGGACAACCAGGCGCAAAGTTATGGCCTTTGGAAGTTAAGATAGAAGTTAAAAAAAAAAATAAAAATTGGTCAGTTTTATGAAATTGGGATTGGTTCCCCAGTTGGAAAATCTGGTTGGCCGTTTATGTCTTTTTTCAACGCCAGTTTTTAGGGCCTGAAAACTGTCAAATGGACCAAGTGATAAATTTTCTAGTTGGAATTACCAGTCTGGTCTGGTTCTCGAACACTAGTTTTGAATCAACCATGGCCCTTCTTTACACCATCTCATCCATCCAATGGCCACCTATTAGTCATTTGCTTCCTCCCCATGAGAAAATCTTAAGGAAAAAACGTCCACTTTTTCTCTTAGCAGTATCAGAATCCCTGCATGAATGAGATTTCCAGGATCACATGATAAACTTTATAACTTGTTTTAAGATATTGAGTGCCATTGAACCTTTAGAATTTGGTTAAATTTAAGTTGGACTTAGGGTTATATTTGAATTTTATTTTATATTTCTTTTGGGTTGGGTGAAAGGTGCAATAAAGACCCGGTTTTGAGGAAAATCTAGAAGTTTAATCTTTTGTTTGAAAGCAAATATACAATAGCTAGCTTCTCATTAGTGAGGCCTATGAGAGGACCAAGCACATCAGTCATAATTCAGAACATTGTCATTTATGAGCAGCATATATCTTTAGTGCTTTGTAGCATTGGTTGCTTATCATCTGCTTTTCTTTTCCTTCTTGTTGCCTCTCTCAACAAATCACATTTGAATAACTAACAGAACTTATGCAGGCATTATGTTTATCTGGCTCGTTAGTTGCAAGGCAGTTTAATGGTGTACAATCAAGTAGAGCAGACATGATTATTTCAGTGAGTAACTGTTCTGCTAGGATTTGTATTGATGCATGGAAGGTTGTGCATTCTTTTTTTCCTGTAGCATTAATTTGTCTCCAGAATACTAAATTCTCAAAATTCTGCGGATGTCATGGATTAAAAAGTCGTTACTTTATACACTATTTTCTTTTGATTTCTACATGTTTTCCCATGTTTCTTTGATCCTAGTACCGTCCTCAAAATTTCATTTGAATAGAGTTGGTATGTGCTAAAGGGACAATGATTATCACTCCTTTGAGAAGGGTGAATTGTTACTCGATCTGTTAGATGAGAAAGTAAGTTGCAGCAATGACTATTTAGATAGGGGAAGGCCAAATTTTGATATCAAAATGGTGTCCAACATCCAATGCCAGGGACTTGAAAGTTGAGGATAGTGTGACTGTATGAAACCTTTCATCTCAGGAAGCATGGAATGTTTGAGTCTCTTACAGCAACCTGGAGAGGTCTTCTGACTGGTGTGAGGCCAGAGAATATTCCAAGAAAGATCAAGTGTTTGAAGTTCTGTGTGGTGCGTACATTCATAGAGGTAAAGCTGTGGACAGAGAGCTGCAGAGAGGGAGGCGAAAGGTTGGAAGATGAAGCACTGTGTGGCAATGAGCGATTGGAGAATTCAAATGGTGATAGGCTTTCACTGATTTGGAAAAACAATTTCTGGAAACTTGGGAAAGTTTCTTTAGGATGAGAAGTTTTTTTGAGAAAGTGGAGTCGGTGCATGGCAGGATTTCTAAGCAGGCATTAACTAGTGGTTATAGTTAACTTATATGGACATATGAATTCAAAGATAGTGGGGGCTGTGATAGACCAAAATTTAGGTCTATTATCATCTTCCTCAAGACTGATTGAGAGCTCTGGAGATGCATTAAAGGAGAACAGACTTTCAACAAAGGTTACAGAGATCACCACATTGCCAGGCAAGGATGGGTTCATATGGTGCATAACAAAGTACAGCTATGGAGAAGAGGAGGCCCTACTGAATGGATGGTGCTAATTGCAGCCAAAGCAAGGAGGTGGAGAAGCATGTTGAAGAGGTCAGCGGTGGAAAAGATGGTTGGGTATATTTCAAAGATATTCAAAGGAGCGATTGGACCAAGAAGACATGCTGATCTGAACTTTGTTATAGCCATGTTTTTGCAGTTTTAAATTTGGCACATGTGGTTTTTTAACGAGTCAAGAGCTAATTTTTCATCATCTTGGGTAGGAATAGTTACATGACTTACTTGCATCACACAGTTCCCAAATTTCTTTCATTTTAGCCTTCAACGTACAAACCTCTTCAGTATCTTGGGTAGAACCAGTAGACTTCGCAGTTGTACTGGCACAGATATGCACTGAGATAATAATGTACTAAATCACATGGTTGTCCACATGCATATCTTTTTGGCCTTTAATTTAAAAATCTGGAAAAGGAATATAGCATTAAATTGGCTCTTTGGGTCGGGGATTCTCCTCTAAAAGACCAGTTTCCTTCATTGTATGCTCTTTCAAACTTGAAAAATGAACCCATATCTTCTTTCTTAGTCCCTTCAGCTTCCACTTCGGGCTTTGGTTGGAACCTTGGCCTATGTAGGGCAATTAGGGATACAGACTTGGATAGCTTGGTAGCTCTGCTAGCCTCCCTTGAGGGTGTCTTCCTAAACCCTGCTAAGGAAGACACCAGATTTTGGATCCTTTCTAGCTCTGGTACCTTTTCTTGTGCTTCATTCTTTGAAACCTTAACTCAGCCTCCTATTCCCTTGGGGTTGTCCTTTCCAGTTAAGGAAATTTGGAGCAGGCCTATTCCCCCTTGGGTTGGTTTTTTTTGTTGGGAAATTTTTTTGGAAAGAATCAACACTTTAGACTTACTTCAGAGAAAGAGACCCAACTATTGTCTACTTCCTAATAGATGTGCTCTTTGTAAAGCTGATGGGGGGAATCTGGCTACCACCTCATGGTCTCTTATAAGGTTGCTAAAACTGTTTGGGAGTGGGTTTTCTCCCGTTTTGGGCGTTCTTGGTATCCTTCGGAGACTGCCCAAGGTTTGTTTTCTCCTTTTTTCAGTTGGCCTAAGAAGCGAGGGAAGACTATGTGGAGGTGTATTAGGGCAGCGTAACTCACGCATTTTTTCTGACAAGAACATTGGAAGATTTGTTAGATCAAATCCTTTTAAGAGTTGTCCACTGGCTAAAATCTTTGGAGTTGTTTTCAGATTTTCCTATGGATGACTTGCTAAGAAACTGGAAAGAGATTGCTTCCACTGCTAGATGCAAGAGGACTCTTTGTCCGTTCTGGTCCCCTCCCCCCTCGGGCTTTATAAAGCTGAATTTTGATGGCAVCAGYGTAAGGAATCCAGGGCCCTCTGGGATTGGAGGAGTCTTCAGGAATGAGGAAGGGATTGTTACTGCTTTATTCTCTGGCCCTATTGGAGAATGTGACTCTCTTAGGGCTGAGATCCTTGCAGCGCTTGAAGGTATTCGAAGAGCAAAGGAATTAAATATTAGCCGCTTGATTCTGGAAGGTGATTTGAAGGTGGTGGTTAGTTGGTTGAAGACAGAGGGCAGTGGTTTGTGGAACTTTAACAATGAAAAAAAAACAGTTCTTATGGCTGGGTAGGGACATTGAGATTCAGTACGGCTGGGTGAAAAGGTGTGCCAACTCATTTGCGGATGGGTTGGCCAAGCAAGGAGTGAATAGGGAGGCTGTTTTTTGGACTAGTTTTTAATATTTTTCTTTGCATTCCCTGTGTTTTCTGTTTGGGGAGCTAAGTTATTTTATCTCTCCCTTTGTATACTTATTCCCTCTCTTCTCTTAATTTAATGAAGATGATGTTATTGATCAAAAAAAAAAAGAAGCTGATTAATTTGGAATTCTGACACTGTAGGTTCTTATGAAGCAAGCAGGACTAAAACTCCAAGACAATGTAAGTCCATCTTTCCTTGTTTCCTCCCTTGGCCTTTATTTCTATTAGTAATGCAGGATGGCTAAAGAGGATTGGTAGACATTTCCATCATAAGTTAGGATAATAGCTTCTTGTTGTTAGTCAATAGGTTTTTGCCAACTTTATGCTCTGTGAAATTTATTTTTCTAGTTTCAACATAGGAAATTCTTTCAAGTAATGGAATTATATAGTATTCATATCTCTTGATATGGTTTAGTAATTTAGTTCATTGTCTGCTAAGATGTTTACATGTCTTATCATGATTGTAGTGATATAAGTTGTATGCATGTTCGGTTTTAATTTGGTTTTTTTTCTTTTCTTTTGTCTCTTTTGCAGGCCATCTTCTTAAATGTTGTTAGTGGGGTAAAGTTGACAGAGACAGCTGGGGATCTTGCAGTGGCAGTTGCAATTTGCAGCAGGTATGCATTATGTTATTTGGTGTGTTCTCATCTATCACTGTCAGGTGACTTAATTGTTATAACAGGTTCAATGTGGACATTTAGTTAATAATCTCAGATGAAGATGTTCTGTATGGTTCTAAGAAGTTGTAAATGTTGTTTTTCTCTTTATTATGTAGTTTTTCAAGTATTACCTATATGTCTTCATATTCCCTTATTCCAATGCTGACCTAATGCCTGTGGATATTCTCTTAAGCATAAGCAAATTGGTGCTTAGTACCTTTTTTTGTACAGTCCTTTTTTTTTATTCTTTTCCCATCCTTGCATAGGATAATGTAGTTCTTGCTATTTTAGTTAGTGGGTTAACAATTGTTCTCTGTCAATGGATACTCATGCTTCCATGTTGCGTTCCTTCAGTTTCTTGGAGTTCCCCATTCCGAATAATATTGCATTCATTGGAGAGATTGGCCTTGGTGGTGAACTTCGCCTGGTATGCATACATTTACCATGCCATTTCTGTTAATATTGTCTGCTTGTTACAAGAGCAATGCACATAGAAATTCTAGTAGCTTTTGAAGATAAATACTTGCTAAAGTAAGATGAAATTATTCTCCTTTTCAAGGGCCACAAATTTTAATTCTAGCATAGTTAATAGTTTAATTTATAGAAAAAAAGAAACACAAGTGGAGATTATGTTACATTTCTTGAGAGGTTAAGGGCTTTGTTGATTTTGGAACATACTTTTGGTGCTGTGTCATAATGTAGTAGTGTTCTGGGGCTATGGAGTGCCTGATGCTGACACAAGCCATTAATCTCTAAGGGTCCAAATGGAGTTTCGTTTGCTAGTTTGTGGTCATATAGGAGAGACATAAGGGCCTTCTGTGCAACCAGGCTCCAGTTTTTAGAGAACTTAAAGGCTGGCCAGTTTCTTAAATCCCTTTGCCCAAAGGAAATGAAAGAAAGACACCACATTTCAGACACATTGTACCAACTGATGGTGGCTCTGTTGGTAGGATCTCTGACTCATCGGAGTATAGACCTGGGATCAAATCCCATTGCCACCAGGGTTGGGGGAGGGGGATGGGCTACCACTGTCGTGTAGCCCCATGAAGCATTATCACCAAATACCAAAAAAAAAAAAGAGAAACATTGTGTGGAGCTAGTATCCTTTTTAACACCTTGTGTGTGGTAATGAGAACTAGAATCGCCCAGTATTAGCATACCTCACTTGTCCCTCTTGTTATAACTACAATTTTCAACCCGATTGCTGTACAGCCTACAATCATGCTTTCTATCCTTAGAATTGGATGGCATTCTCTATCTTTAGTACGTGGTAATATGCAACAGATGCACATATACACACAACAAGATGTATACACACATTGACATGCTAGATACACAAACCAAGTGACTCTTGATGCGGTGCAACTAACATAGTTTTCAAGGTGCTAAGGTGAGGCTAGGCAACAGGTTCCATGGCCTAGGTGACGTTTTTTTTTTTTTTGAATAAAAAACATGAATCCTAGGGTAATGCCCCAAATTCCATAGCAACCAGCAGCCATCATTCACTTGTAATTATCTATAACCTGCATAAAAAAAGTATACAGTTCATACTTAAACTTAGAGAATCAACATATTTATGAGAAAAAGAAGAAAAGAAATTCATAAAATATAGGGGTGAGCCCTTATTTTTGTTCAAGACAGCATGCATCATGCAGATTGAATCCAAACAAATTAGAAAATAATAAAAAGAAATTATATGTAAATCTACAAAATGAATAATTTAGTTTAATAATTGTTTTACTATTTCATAGCATCATGCACAAAATAGCTAGGTGCTTAAGTGAGGGAACCCTCCATGAGTGCCTTGTTGCCTAGGCGTTGCATTGATAACTATGGCCACTAACCTTTCCACATCAGTCAGAACAGGAAACAGCTTACATGGGCTACCACCAAGAACAGGAACATGTATATATTCACCTATAGGATTTGCCATCAAGTATCAAAACTTCTATTGCATCTTCAATGGCCGTTGCCTTTTCTATTAGATTCTTAAGAACGTGACTTTTTTAGTATTCTCACTTGTACTTACGGTCTCTATTCTCTTCATTCTTCCGAATCCTTAAAGGTGCCCAGAATAGAGAAGAGGGTGCATGCTGCAGCAAAATTGGGATACAAGAAATGTGTTGTCCCAAAATCAGCGGAGAAGCCTCTTGCTGCCCTTGAGTTGGATGGGATGTCAATTTTGGGCTGTAGGAATATGAAAGAGGTAATCAACACTGTATTTAAGGCCTAAGGAAATTAGTTGTAAACAAATTTGTTCTCTTCTACAAGATACAGTTTTGAAGTCAAATTATATGGCATGCTTGTTGAATTGATTCTATATTCTGGATGGAATCTCTTGTCACCCACATTTCTATCAGAAAACAAGAGTTTTACAACTTTTAGATACCTCGCCCAACAGACATTGTAGAACCCATGAAATAGACACTTCAAAATTAGCTAGGTATCCCACCTTGTCTGTAGAGAGAAGTATCCAATAGTTGCATAAATTTGCTGTTTACTGCCTCGCATCTACAACTATTTTATGAAGATCAAAGAGTCCATCATCTTACTTTGTAGGTGCATCTATCAAACAAAAAATCTTGATCTATAGATTGATAAATATGGAAGCAAGGTTTTAAAAACCAGACTAGACACAGAACCATTCTGAGGACCGGTCCCGGGTTGAAAGGTCCGATCATCCGGTTTGAACGGACAGCCCATTCAACTTAAAAAATAAAATAAATAAACAAAATAAAAATGCCCAAAAAATATTGTCCGGGTCAATGGCTTGACCACCTGGATCAGTGGGTCATTGACCAAATCAACGTTTTTTTGGCCAAAAGTGGTTTTAGGGTGAAATGGAACCGGTTACTTAACCGATTCCCGGGTCAACTGGTCCGACCGTTCAGTTTTCAAAACCACGTATGGAAAAAAAAATAATTGCAGAAAACCAAAATCTTTTATTTGTTATGTAAATTAAACTTCAAATAATCTTTGTCCTAAGCACCGAAAGAGCCTTGAATACTTGGGGATCCAAGTGCCTTCCACTTGGTAGCTTTAAGTAAATTAGATTGCACAAAAGCAGTAAATTATGTTGCTAACCTTGAATACTTGGGGATACTAAATTGCTTAGATGAGTACATCCAATACATTTACCCAATAATCACCCTTTAAGGGGGTACTATTGACTTTCCAACTACAATTCTGTTCGTTTTCTTTCTTTCTTTCTTTTTTTTTTTTTTGGGTAAAATAAGCCATACATTACTAGTTACTACTAGATAGACAATCGTTCGATGCGAGTATACTACTGGGGCCAAAGAGTCGTGAAACTAGAGACCATCCTCAACTACTAGCTAGAAGATGAGCAATTTCATTACCATGTCTCCGTACCCAAACGATCTTCTCAATAAAGCTTTGTTCCAAACAATGTCCTGAATCTACCCAAACATCTGAAGGGATTTCCATGGTGTCTGCTAGATATCGCAAACAGGAAGTACGTACAATTGGTCAGAATACAAATATTCTTCAAGTTGGTAATGCTTTGCCAAATGCCAACTTAATTCGTTGAAGAGCTGCATGCGATTCCTAAAATAAAGCCGATCGTCAGATACCAAAACTTTGATTGTGCTGCCAAAAAGAACCCCTGGTCATCATATATAACAGACTCCATATGTGCATGGCCCTGATTGACAGGATGTCACGACTCAATTGAGAATGTGTAATTTATCATTCATTTTTTGGCCCGGGGGTATGGGCAGGGGGGAGGAGGTAGGAAAATGTTGAATTACATTTCTCTTGTGTTTGGGGCGAGGAAAACATTGGGCAGATTTTCTAGTAAATTTGGGACATAAACAAAGACAAGAACCTAGAGCAAGACAATATAAGTCTTGAACTTATGATCTCTTCTGATATTTGGAGCAGGACTACACCCGGATAACTGCTTTTACAGTGTGAACAAGTGTAGAGAAAATACATCATTGACGCAGTCAAGGTTCAAAAGTATTGGTATTGAAAAAGGTATTTGCAAAACAGTTTTAGCCTTTAGGATGAATATGGGGATATGTTCAGGTTAAACACATGAATATGGAGTGATTAGCAAAACTCGCATAGATCCCAATGACACTAATATCTAAAACTCATACGACTATATCTGAGCTATGTATACATAAATACATAATTCAATAGTTTATATAAAGTAATTTAAAAAAAAAAAGAGAATTTTCACTAAACATTGCTTATAGACTTTTTAGGTAATCAAATTCACAAAGCCAGAAGTAGCAATGTGAAAGCCCAATATGCTAGATAATCGCAATACAAATTCAATCTGGAACCTGGTCGTATCCAATCCATAGACCATAGGCCCTGCTGTCGTCAGGCGCATCAAATCCCTGTGATTGTTGTCCTTAAGGTCTACATTCTACGTCAGGCGTAAACAGTCTGAGGGTTGATTTGGTTGGGTGAAATCAGAATCCCATTTTCATTCTTAGTGAAATGGCATTCCTTTATTTAAGGAAATAGTTCTCAGGAATAGGAATTTGGAATCAAAATTGGAATGATCCATTTTGACTCCAACCATTTGGTTGTATGAAATCAGAATTCCATTCCCATTTCTGGGGGAACGACATTCCTTTATTTGAGGAAATGACCATTCCCTCCCCCTCCCCCTCCCTTGGGAATGAGAATCCATTTCAACTGATTTTGATTGCGATTCTAATTCTCGTCTGAATCAAACAAGCAGAAGAAATAAACCATTCTTATTCTGATTCTGATTCTGATTCTGACTGTAAACCAAATGGAGCCTAATATTATTAGTGGACGGTTTTGATCCCCAAGAGTGATACAAGGATATTACTACTAAATTGAGTGATGTTTTTATTATGAAAAAGTTGTAACCAACGATACTAAGGCCCTGTTTGATGATTAAGTAATTGTTAAAAGATATACTTGTTGCACAAATGCTTTTTAGAAGTACTTATTTTAACAACTTAAGACTATTTGATGACCAACTTACCAAATCACTTATTAATTTTTTGGTAAGCTACCACAAATAACAATTTGATCCTTCACTTCACTCGTACATATATACAAGTCCAAAGGAAGGTGTTGGTCGGCTATGGGCATGAACCCATGGAAGGAATGGTGAGATTACTATGGGCACCACTTTTCCCAAGAATTGCATACATAGAAAAAAATTGCAATACAAAAAAGGAACGTGGAATAATTACTTAAAGTTTGGAAGTGGGATGGCCAAGAATGACAATCCCTCACCATAATACAGATACAGCATGACCACCACCAATAATACGACTCGAGACCTTCATTCAAGTTGGATAATAAATAAGCAATCTTTAGATGGAAGAATACATGTATACAAGGTACAACTGCCTTCAGCGTACACAGCAAAATTAATCAAAACTGATCCAATAACCAGTCGAGAATTGTATATGTATGGGTGGGGTGGGAATAAATAGAAACTCTCAATTACCTAATGCCTACTCAGAAAAACCAAAAGGCTAACCAACCGGAAAGGTCCTTACTTCTTCTGGGTATCACTGTCATTATGGCTGTTCTCTCCGTCCAACAATTGTGTAGGTGGTTCCGGTTCTTGTTTTTTGCTTATGAGTTCTTTTGGGCGAACGAAGCTAGGCTGGGTGGTTGAAGAGAGAAGCCTTGCCCACATTCTGTCAGTAATCACGACTTTGTTCTGTCTTTCAGTCACACGCTGCATATCAACCAGACAAGGATCATCAGCCACGGCAAACAATAAATACTCGTCGCAAGGACATCAGAGATGGCCACGGGCTTGGGGTGGGGGTGGTTGGGTGGGAGGGAAAAGATACAAAAATTTAGCAAGAGATTAATTATTTAGTTCATATATATTTATATTTATAATCGATAAAGGTACAAATGTACAATTTAATAATTAACCGGAGTCATGAGAATATTGTCCAGAATACCGTTTATTATATAGGTTGTTTTACCAGTTCTACCTAGACCACCGAGCACAAGCAGGTGGCTTTATTTCTGTATACACTTTAGGAACAGGAAAACAGACATGAAGGGCTAAGATGGAAGAGGCTGTGGTCTTTTCAAGAGCAAGAGTGTACTAATTCATAGACTAATTAATTACTGAAGCTCATGGAGAAAGAAAGCTGAAAGCATAATTGGATTCAAGGAAGATTCTCTATTCTCTCAAGAAAGGAAACAAGACCAGGAACTTCTTGGATGTCTCCTTATCCAAATGGCATCCACTTGGAAAAGAGAAAAAGTAGAGTTAACACAGCCGTAGGTTATACATAAACAAATTAATGAGCATCAATAATTAAAAATAGACCTCTACTCGGGAAGGATAGGCTCATTATAAACATTATCATGGGTCCATGAATCTGATGGATCAACCAAGAGAATTTGGTTGATAAATACGAGAAATTGGATAAAAGAGACAGGGAGGGGAAAAACTCTAAGCTCTTCGCCATTAATTCATTTTCCGCCTGATTCCTAAGATAAATATCAATTGTATCCACAGCATCATTCTTTATTGATACCAAGAGGTTTTCAAATTTCCAAGATGTCATCCAACATAAGGGTATCAATGGACTGGTTTTGGGTTGAACCCCATCCAAATCAAAATCAATTTGAACAGATTGGATGGACCAATAAGACGTTGAATTGGACCAGTCCAGACTAAATGGTCCAAAATATTTATTGGATTGGACCTGGTCCATCCGTATAATGGACTATAGTGGATTAGGTTGGATTGAACCACTATCTGGTCCATTGATAGAAGATAAAATTCAGGTGTCAATGGATGGGGTTTGAGTTGGAACCAATCTAAATTAAAACCAATCTGAACAGATAAGACGGTCCAGACATTGAATTGGACTGGTCCAAAATGGTCCAGAGTATTCATTGGATTGAATTGGACCTGGTCCATCTGTAATGGACTCATATTTGACTAAATCAGATTGGACAAAATCCAGTCCAATTGCCACCCTTATTTCAACAGCCTAGTGGAATCACAATGGAGTTTACCACTGAAACTGCTGAAATAAGAACTTCAATTCAAGTCATGCGGCTACTCACATTGAATGGGATGTAAGTGTGTCTTCCATTTACAAGCCCTACTGTGAAGCCTGTATACCCTGCCATTGCACCATGGACTGCACTTTGGGCGAGAAGTGTACAGTACACATTGTCAGATGCATTACTTGGAATAGCACGGATCATATAAGTAGGATCTGCCAGACAAGAGGAGCACACTTGGTTAGTCAGACCAAAATCCTTATTTTTGTGGTGGTGATGTTTTTTGTAAGGGGAAGGGAGATATGAGAAAATAAAATCTGTCACTAACCGATATATTTGAGATTGATGCTCATTTTGTTTCTACTTGAGAAATGATCCTACAACAGCAAATATCGAGAATCAGACCAGTGGATTATTTACCAGATGCCTCAGGTCATAGAAATACATAATTAAGCAAAGATCTTATGTTCAGGACCTTATTTGAAGGCTTCTGCTTTCTGCTCAATGAAGATACACAACACCCCACTCAGTTTGTGGTGCTAATAGGGCTAATCACCCCCCCCCCAAAACAAAAGAAAGGATATTTGGAGTGCAAACAAAAACGAATCCTAGATGACAAAATTAAGCAAAACCCATTTTGCCTCACCTACTGAAGCATCCCAAGTTTTTTTTTAAATTATATTTGAAAGAAACCATGCAGGAAGTGCACAAAATCCATACCTTAAAAACATGTGCATGCACTCAGATTTGCTGGGCTATGCAAAATAATTTGGATTCAGAATTGATACCTTGATCCTCTGAGATATCCACAGCCCAACATCTGGGAGTAGCTTGTTTCCTGAAGCATCCTTCTGATCCATGTTACGCATGCTTTGAGAAAGCAGCTCCAGGCCAGCACCTTCAGCTATTACAATAACCATGTGACCATTTTCCTTGAGTCGTTTCTCCAAGTATTCAAAAAGTCCACCGGGTCCTTCAAGATAAAAGGGTGATTCTGGTATCAAGCAGCAGTCCACATCTCGGCTAGCAAGAGTTGCATACATTGCAATGAACCCTGTATGAGAAAATTCTCTTAGATTGTGGGGGAAATTTTGGGTAAAACTAGCATATGGAACAATATATTAGAACCCCATAATGCAAGAAACTAATTTCATAGAGCAACATTTCACTTGGGATCAGACTACTTTTGAGGAACAGGGTTTCCCTATTGTCAACCTGTGCTGAGAATTGCTAGTCCCAAGCCTTGATGGGAGGGTATGTCAGGTTGATGGTGTAAAATTGGCCACATACAACTCAACTCAACCTAGCTCATGTATTTTAATGAATTCTGATATGATGTTCCCTCCCTCATAAGAAACACAAAAAAGATGCACAACATCAATCATAGAAAAGAAAAGGGAAGTAGAGAATATATATATATATATATATATATATATTCAGTCCTCTGCTCCGCTCCACCAACTGAGCTATTCCAACCATCCCCTATACATCATCCTACTAAAGGACCTAGATCTATGTCAATTAAAGGGACTAAGAAAGCATTTTTGTTTTAATCTTACTGGAATTTCTTGGATCTTCAAAAAGAACCCATTTGAGTTGTCTCCCCTCCTCTTTCAATCGACACACTCGACGCAGATAGCTCCGGTGGCCCCGGCTTCTGCCTCTATCAGGTGGTGACAGCCCCTACCCTCTCCTACCATGCTTCCCCAAAAACCTATATATAATATATGCCTATTTAACATAAACTATACTGCAGTTCCTCTGGAATTCTAAAGTTCTCTTCACAAGGAAAAGTTCCTACATGAGACCCTCAAGACCTTGAGGCCAGATAAAGAAAAGCCCAAGAGTAAAATCTCAGATATAGAGAAGAAACTTACCACTGTAGCGACCCATTAATTTCACAAGGCCTATACCATTCTCAACACTCTCAGCTTCAACATGAGCTGCATTAATGGCGCGTTGTGCTTCTTCAACAGCAGTGTCAAAACCAAATGATCTGTCAATAACCTAAATGCACAGGAAACAATAATGAAATATGTAAAAGTTCCAAGGTGGAGCAAAATGCAGGTCAATTAAGTAACCATATGCATCAATTTGAAAAGTACCGGAATGTCATTATCAATGGTCTTGGGGATTCCAGCAACTGCAACTTTCAGACCACGCCTTTTAACTTCCTGTATGAGGAATAATTAAAAATGTCGGCAAGAATAGCAGAATAGAGAAGAAAACTGTTGTGCTTTATTTGATTTTCAGCTTATGGAAATATTATAATTTCCAAGATATAAAGAAAACCATCCTATAGATTTGTGTGTAGAATCCCCCAAACTAATAATAGATGATAATTTTCAATTTGTTAAAAGAACTCACCTCATAAATCACAGAAGCCCCTTTCTGTGTCCCATCTCCCCCAATTATGTACACCTGAAATATGGCAAAGCATATGAAAACCAAGAAATAGACAAGGATGCTGAGGATTGTGACCATAGTTATCATACATATGAAATATGATAATCTTATTCTTTGTATACCTGATTAATACCCCGGTCCTGAATGCTGTCAACTATCTTAGAGGTATCATGTCCTCCTCGTGATGTACCAAGAATAGTACCGCCACGCTTATGAATGTCATTTACAACCTTGGGTGTTAAAGAAATGGTATTTCGAGCATAGAAACCCTTGTATCCTCCCTACAATTGCCACCATCCTCATTAGTAGAAGAAACCATTAAAAATGCAAAAGATGCTTTCCAGTTGGAACCTACAAAGTCCCTGCATCAATCCTTAGCAAATAGTGCATGTGTAACCATCATTTATTTGTGAACCAAGTCATGTTTTACAAGATAATGAAATTATGAAAATTAAACTCAGGGAGCTTGCAAATGATGGGTAAGAGACCAATTTTGAAAGCAACACAAGGACCTAATATTAGTTCAAAGGTCAAACAATTACCATTAACCAACAAAGCATGTTTAATGACATAGCTACTGAACTGAAACAAAATCTTGAATATGTGAACTCTAATGACATGGCTACTCACCTCTATCCCAAGGATCCTGTTAACGCCATACATGTAATTAAGGCCACACACTATTTCCCTAATAACTGTGTTAAGCCCAGGGCATAGACCACCACACGTTACAATACATGCATGCACTTCATCAGACTCAAAATAAACCTGAGCAAGATAAAAGGAAGTCTTGTTAACATATGCTCCCTGCTTTTTTTTTTTTGTGGAATGAAGAATACTACAGAAAAATATACCTTTTGACGTGGTCCAGCACGTCTAAAATGGATCCCTCTTGGACTAGTTTTGTGAACCACAATCTACAAAACCAACAGATCATACAGTAAGCCACGGTCACGGCTGTTAAAGCATTTGAAAAATGGTCTCACCTACTATCTCTAATTTGTCAAAAACAAACCTTTTGAGGCACCTTGTGCCCTTGAACAAGGTTCATAGTAAGTCAGACCATAAACCTATAATCCAGAAGATTCGTTCTCCGATAAATAACAAGTAAATAGGATGAGCTAAGGAAAATGGGTCAGACATTAAAACAACAACTACCTTTTGGGGAACAGTATCGTCCATGTCCACGAAATACTGCCTGGCAAAAAAGAATTGTTTTGATCAATCATCAATTTTAACCAAGATCATTCAGAAGAATATGTTAAAATTGCTGAATGAATAGCAATAGAAATTAGCTTGAAATGACACTTACTTAACAACTGAATATGCAGGATTATCTTGCAATGGATTGGGATAGGTCTGCGAGGGGTAAAAGGCAAATGTTAGTATTTAGTACGCAGGTCCAATATCCCAACATCAAATTTCCCGAAAATTTGCTAAATTATATAATAAGCCGCAGAATGTCCTTTATATCATTAACGATAACTATTGTAATAGTAATAATGATGGTAAGATGGCTGTGTGTATGCCTGTAAGATATTAGCACAACTGAAATCAAAGATTTCGAATATTTGATCTAGAATCAGTAAACCATTTGCTAAAGATCAGAAATTTCTAGACAAGAAATCAATAAATAATAAAATGAAAAGAAACAAAACCATGAAATCATATCAAAAGAACTTCTCTGGACAAAAGGGAAAGCATATAAAAACCATTTGGTCTCAAATCCAGAACTTTATACAAAACCTTACACTATGAAACTGAAATACTCATTCCAAAAACTCGGGAAAACAACATGTTGATAACCTCAGTATATAGAAGTGTGTCGGCTTCAAATAAGATCAACTAAGCAATCACAACTTTTAGCGAGATAGAGAAAAGAGAAGGAGATAGAAATCATACAGGGAGATCCGGAATATAATCAGTCAAGTGAGGAACATCTTCGAGTACGTATCCAAATTCACCAGTTACAATCTTGGGTTGAGACATGGTGGGCAATTCACTAGAGCTTCTTGACGATTTGATCTGTGAGTTGGAACTGATCGAAGAAGAAGAAGAAGAAGAAGAAGAAGAAGAAGAAGAATTGAAGAAATGGTTTCTTGTATTAGGAGGAGGAGTGGAATTAGAAGGATCGAAGCAGCGGAACTTGGGGGCAGAGATTGAAGAAGAACTAGAAATCGTTTCCATAGAAGCAGAATAGGGAAAAGCACGGGGAAGTTTTGATGGACCAATGAGAGATGGAGGGAACTGAAGAAAGGAAAGCCATTTTTATAGCAGGGAAGGAACAATAAGGCGTCGATGATGTTGACCGGAGGAGAAGTAAAAACGCAGAGGAGTCGTTTATGAGGTTTAGGTTTGCTGAGCTCCCATAAAACAATTGGCGGGTGACGAACGCCGACGACGACTTTCTTTCGCTTTCGTTCCCTGTTTTCTTTAACGATTATTCAACGATCTCCGTCACACGTAAAGAAACTGAGAAGCAAGCGAGAAATGAGAATGAAGAAAGAAAGAATCGCAACAGGAGCAAAAATTAATAAAAGGGGGGGAGGATTTGGGCATTTCCCATTTTCTGACACCATCTGTTTGAAAGACAGAAATACCCTACTAAAAGTTATGAAATGACGTAAAACCCCTTATTACGAGCATTGCCGTTTCACTGTTGCGCCCGGTTATTAGGTGCCCTGATCAGTGACAGTGATAACCATTCAAGCATTCGCCACTAGAAATTTAGAAAAGTTTCTTAAAGGGTACCTACCTGGTTGGAAATTTCCAGACAGGAGCAAAGCACTAAAAAATCGGGATACAATTGCGTTTAATTACCAAAATACCATTGAGTTTTAGGGAAGGGAACGGATTATACTACGGCAATGTTGGCGGGTCCCTCCCTCGAGAATCGGATTCTGCTTCCCAACGTATAAACCGGTGGGACGATAACAAAACCACTGTCTAAAACCGTGGTGAGCGACATCTAACCTGGTGGACAGAGTTGGTCAAACATGGTTTAATTATTGTTTCGGAAGGTCGGGAAAAATGGTGTAGACACAAGCGCACCCTATTTTTTTAGATGCGGTACACGTGGGCACTGTGGACGTATGCTTGTTGCCACGTGGACAGATATTGTGCATAAAATAGCCAAATAAACAACCAATAGACGCGGTGGTCGTGAATCCCAGCTATTTGGGAGATGAAATTTAGGGTTCCAGAATTTCAGTATTAGTTCCATCGATTCGTCTACGGGCTGGGGCTGGGCTCCACATGCCAACTTCGACCAACGCGCCGGTGGGTCACATGTTCAGGACTTGCAAATACCTTTGCATTGCAAAGTATTGGTCTATTACAAGGGGCTAACCAAAACCAGAAAACGATGAACGCCTTGGTGGGGTTGCGACTTGCGCGTCTGTAGTCCCAGTCTGTACATTCTCGGAATCTTCTTCCGACACAACCCAGTTGGATGGGGCTGGGTTGGGTGTACCCAATTACCCACCCTTTTTGCTGTGAATCCAATTCCAGAATCCAGAGTCCAGACACAATAGTTGGCTGGGAACGTGGAAAGATCCAGATCTGATGGTTGTGAGTTAAGGTCCTGACATGTTGGTTGGGGCTCGGGATCCATGATTATTTTTACCTTGAAATTAGAAATGTTGGTTGGGAGGAGTTGAGTTGAGTGAGACTACTAGATTAACCTGAGAACCGGAAAGGATGAATAGTAGTGATTGAATTGAACAGGGGATGGGTTGAGGGCAGTTTCGGTAATTTAGAAGAAAAGAGGGGGCAGGGATGGCTGGCTGAACCTGGATCTGAGGACTGAGGATGGGCGATGTCTAGTCTAGAATACAAAGGACAAGAAACGGGAGTTGTGAAACAGAAGGTTCATGGGAGTCTAGTCAGTCGTCCAGATGGCGAGATGGACCGCCTTGATCTTCTAGAAAGAAGAAAAAAACTAAAAAAAAAGGGAGAAAAGGGCGTCTAACTCAAAGTATCTAGAGATTCTGGTCCAGGTCCTAGTCCTGGACTGCACTAATTGTCATTGCCAGGTGGCCCAGGCCTGACGGATTTTTCTTTTTTTTTTTTGGTGAAGACTAATTACCCCACCAATAGCGAAATAACCGTGCAGATTTGCGATATGTGAAAAGTGTAATGTACTGGTTTGGCCCGAGAAAAGCGCGACCAATCCTCTTTGCCCGCCGATTCTTGAAACAGGACACGCAACCCAACAGTAAAAACACGCGTCACTTTGTAGTTAGGTGGCATTGATGAGGATATCTTGGTAATTTGATAACACAACCATGCCATGGTGGTGCAGCAATGGCAATGCCATCACCGCCCACGTGTTGATGCTGGCGCATGACCATGGTCAAAGGCCAATTAATGCAAGAGATCATTTCTCTTTATTTTTGTATTTTAGTCCTTAATTCCTGAATCCACCCCTCACAACTCACAAGTCACAAGCAGGTCAGGTCGGGTCTGATTTAGGGGCCAGGGCTTTAAAACTGATCCTATTAACATTTTTTTTCTAGGTGTCGTTTGACAAGTATTTTTGGAAAATGTCTCCCTAATCTTATTTGGTCAAAAGACTAATGAGCATTTGATATCTTTTGTATTTAAATATTTAAATACTTTGAAGTTTCACTTTCATCTCTTTATTTGTCAGTTGAAGCGGTAATTGGGTGGTTGGTCCTTTAATTGATAAGACAGATTGACGGTGATCAGCCTGGAGTAACAGATTTGTTTGATATTGGTCTTCAAGAGCAACTGGGCGCTTGGGCGGCTCCGACTTTCCTGATAACAGGTTTTTTTTACTGTTTGGGATTTTTTCAGAAACCTTGAGAATTTCAACATGTTAAAATGATGGGCCCTAATCGCCCTATGTCGTCACTTTTGACTTGATGGGTTTTGCTAAACTGAATGGGTCGCTACTCGCCTTTAAACGAGTCTGGCCTTATACGGACGGCCGACCTCACAAAACGTTTTTCAACCGCGGGTGGAACATCCCTCGTACTTGTGTTGTTATTTATGAAGAGATATTTTTAATACAAGGTGAGATGTGTTTTGAGGTTGATATGAAGTGGATTTTGTGATGAGTAAATTCCGATTGCCTAAAACATCTGTTTAAGAGTTTGGATTTCTTGTTCATAGAATTAGAATCCTCTACCGACCCAATGATATCGTTCCAACTCTTTTAAATTGAGATATCATCAAAATTCATGTATTTTTGGTACCACCGACACTTTTTATATAGCTAGTTGGCATGATATCATTGAGCTAATAGAGGATCCTTTCCTTCCCTCACTGGTGGTCTAGAGAGGATTTAGGAGGCGGTTTCAGATTTTGAGAGGGAGGAAAGTTATCGATTGGATTTTGGTTCTTATTTACTAAGAATTTTATGTTTTTTTTTTAGATTTATGTAGAGATTAGAGAAAGTTTATTTTCTTAGGTATCACTTGCTTTCCTAAATGGGTAAATAATTTTTCTACTTGGGGGGAAAATTATTAATATTTGAATGACAAAAATAACTTTTTAATAATTTATTTTTATGACTAAAATGGTTATTGTTTTATTTACATGAAAAATAAAAGAACATGAATAAATACATTCATCTGGATAAATCTTTCTTAAGAAACACTTACCCGAATGAATACATTTACCCAGATTACCAAAAAAACGAAGGAAGCCTTCGAGTGAAATTAGAGGAACCAAATCCTCAAATATCTGGACATCTGTTTGACTGTTTGGGTTTTACACAAAGAAAACAAAAGAATTCAATAAATTGCATTGGCTAACTTTGCATGTGACACATGTTAATACGTAAAGTTCTAAAGCGAAACTACCCCTAAATTACACGATACCTATTTAAATTTTAACTTGACGGGAAAGTACACAGTACGCTGCAGCTCAGCTCACTGCAGAATTCTCATTTATCTATCTCAAAATTCACATTTCTGTGATATTCATATTTTTTAGCATATTTCTTAACTGTCTAACACACTGTTTTCAAAACTGGATTGGACTGGATGGTGGGACTGGAAAAACTGGGAATTGGCCACCCGTTTTTCTACAAAAACGTTTTTCTCCCAAAACTATTGATTTTGGTCAGTAAACCGCTGAATCGATCGATTAACTGTTCGAACGGTTTTGATCGTTTTCCAATTTTTTATTAAATTTTTTTATTTTTTTTGTTAAGCCATTCAAATCAAACAATCGGACCATTCGAACTGATAACCGGACCCCTGACCGGTTCAGTCACCGGTTCGTTTTTAAAAACCATGGTCTAACACTCTGCTCAATACAATATTGATGAATGATGGTGTTACAATTTTAACTAACATATTTGGTTTTACACATCATATTTTGATCAATTTAAATTTGTGTTTTCGTATGGGGAATGATTTAGGTAAGATCCATTTTTATAGGGTCATACCCCTAATTATTACTTCTTAAAGAGTAAAAACACCCCAATATTTTGATTTCTTCAATAATGGTCAGTAGCTTCATTCATTGTCTTCTCACTAGGATGTTCCATGCCATAGGGGTGCAACTAGATCAGGCACCCTTGTTAAAGATTTTAGACTGTAACAGGCTCAGGCCCTCAGGACAGGTTTATTCAAGGTTTAGCAAAAGCTTAACCTAAGCCCACCCAATTTGCACCCCTAATCACTTCTCTTGATTTTTCTAAAATGAAATTCTCTCAATTTTGAATCTTAGGTTCAGTTTGAAAAGAATACAAATATAAATATGTACAGTATAATTACACACAAAATAATATAAAATGTAAGATTTTGCAGTATATATATTTATATTTGTACTCCTTCCAAGCTGAGATAGAAAAAAAATACTTGAACTTAAAATTTTTGTATGAAGTATGTTGTCTTGGGAGACGTTCAACTTTTACTTGGTTGAATTGAAAGGGTTGTGTAGTTGCATCCTTGCACATTTATGAGAGGCTTCAACTATCTTCAAGAAATATATATATATATGTATGCATTTTAATTAAAGACTTGATGAAAGTTAAGAAAGCTATTTAATTAAATCTGAAATCTATGAATTAAATCCAACACTAATAGGATAAAGGGGAGTAAATTGAAGAACGATGTTAAACAGGTCCTTGAAGTATATCGATAGTTCAAATTCAAATAGATCATTGGGAGATACAATAATCCTAATTGTTATAATTTTAACGTTGATCAATGACTTTTTTTTAATTACATTAATTGTGAAGTCCCTACTTCCCTTATAACTAAATCCATCTGTGTTGTCAATGCATATATAGTGTTGCACCTCTTACCTTTTATGGATAAGATGTAAATCTTAAAGGCAAAAACCTATGGTGGCATAAACCGCACTTTAAAGCAAAAAACGTGAACAAGTGATAAAACATGTTACGCTACTTGACATTAACATCGTTAAGCCTTGATGATAATTACATCTTGTGAAACATGAAAATACATCTTACAAAATATGAAAATACATCTTGTAAAATGTCAATGAATCTTGTGACAAGTCTTTCAT